ACAGCTTCTCTGGGGGGAAGGAGCACAGCAGCCACAGATGTCTATCAGGCATCTAGCCCAAGCCAGCTATACTTTCCCCTCCCTGCTTCAGTACTGTGGTTAAACATTAAGTAGAAGTGCTTCCTACACCTGATTGCACAATGTCTTTTTATTCCTTCTATCTGTCCCTGTTATCACTCCATAGTTTTGGCTGCTTGTTCCTCTCTATATCTTTTAATTTATACCAATTCACTTGCAGAGGCTGGAAGCAGCAGGCATTGAGCAGAGGAGAATCTTTAGGCTGGCACCAGAATCATGCCCTAGAAGTATTTTTGAAAATACTTTTTCTTTCCGTTTTTTTCCAGTGCTAAATACATCTGGTAAAGTGGCAGAGAGTAGTAAAGAGCTGGTTTTTTTCACTGAGTAAAAAGTAAAAACAAGCAGCGATACAGAGATAACTCTGAGGTCTCCTCATTAACGAACTCTTAGGTGCTTATAACTCCTATGCGATATACCAATCTGCTAACCCTCTCATAGAAGCAAGCAGTGTCACTAAGCAGCTTCTTCTAATACAGGAAGTATGTAATCCATGAGCAGAAAAACCTCCGAACTGAGTTTTATACTAGTAGAAAGATTGCTTTATATCTCAACTAAGCTAATGCAGAGTCTTTTTTATGGAAATGTCCCTTAGCAATCTTCATTCTTTGCATTGGCCACTTTCTCCCTGTGGATGGTAAGAATGGAAGTAACTGACTTGAAACTTTGCTTCACCCAGGAAGTTTATCATTCAGATCCAGCAAAATGTGGCCTGGGCCATTAGTCAGTATGACTTTTTTGGAACTGCCTGATGAAGAAAGATGCCTTTTGCCTTCATTGGACTAATGTGATAGCACGTCACAGAAAGCTAGAAGCTAAAGAAATTTTAAAAGGTAGTATTTAACAGAAAAATATGTCCCTATTCTTCACTCAAATCTATAATAGGTCATTTACAAGATCTAGCAGGTAGTCCAATGAACAGAATACACTGGGTTGTATTTATTCAAAAAAATCGTGTGGTTCAATTTTGTGCTTAAAACCCTATCTTTTTTTCTTCTCCTTCTCATCAGACGTTCAGATATTGGTCAGGGCTTGTTTAGAGTATCTCCAAGGATGCAGATTTGACACTTTTTGGGGATGCTTGTCCCTGTGCTTGACTACTGCATTGTGAGCTTTTATTTTTAACCTAATATCTAATCTGAGTTTCTCTTGTTACAACTTGTTTCCATTGCTCCTTAGTCTTTAAAATGTACCTCCAAGAACAATCTGGTACTACTTCTGTACAGCCACATGTTAGGTAGTTAAATATGACATGAGTAAGACCATCAGCTCTTGCTAGGTTCTTTTTCCTAATGTGTCAGGCCATCTTATGTAGACTGGAGGAAATAAAATCTGAATAGTTCTTGCTTTTCCTTGCTAACTTCCAGCACTGGTAGTCTGGTCTGGGGGGGGAGAAGAGGGAATTTCTTAGTTCTGAGAATCTCCCATCTACCTCATCAAATAATAATTAGCCTTGTAAACTGTATTCAACCTTATTGTTGTTAAGTATTGGTTATTGTTTCAATAATGTGATTATTTGGACCCCTAGACTCACAGTATTTGTTACAAATTTGGAGAAACTGAGAAATCAATAGGACTCCTCAGATAGGTGCTGTTACCAGATGGGAATTTCGTGGTGTGTGTTCTGGAGTTGGCTTAAATCTCTTGGAGAGTTAAGGCCCACATTGGCTCTGTCTTTAGGGGTATGGATTTCTACCAACAGCTTCAAAGCAAGATGGTATGTGTTTATAGTAAGCCTGCTACTCAAACACTTTTTCTCCATTTAGAAATACCTAACATCTTAAGCTTAAGAGCTGTGTAGAACAACATGTCACTGAAGCAATAAATATTGGCTTTTGTTCAAATTACGATAGCATTGAAACTGCGACTATGCATGTGGAAAACAGATTTTGTTTTTAAACCTCAGGGATGTTGTTAGGGCTGCAGCTTGGACTGAAGGAGTTGTTGAACAGCTTAGTCCACCCTTGTACTGAGGAAGAACTGAGCAAGTGTTTGTTTTCCCTGACAGGAGTTGTATAACCTATTCTTAAAACACATCAGTAATGGAGATGAAACTCCATCTCTAACTCACCTTTAGTGCTGATTTGATTAGAAAAGTCTTCTTCCTTTTCTTTCTTCAATATATTTTAATTTCTATAGGTTAAGCCGATGCCGTTCAGTAGTGATTCTTCCAATGAACAATTCATATTTGACTTGCATATGCTGTAGAACAGCTGACAGATCTCTGTACTTCCTACTTCTTATGGTCTAGGAAGACCTTATTCATTTCATCTTTCTTCGTATGTCCTGTTTTAAATCTCTTGTCATTGTTGATCAACTGTGGACAGTCCAAAGTCTCTCTCTTTAGGTATGGTACCAAAACTGGATTGTCTCAGCAGATACTTGGCAAGTACTTAGTAGAATTTATCATCTCCTTGCACATGTAAAGTTGCCTCAGAATTGGGCTTTGCCCTTCTTTCTTACATCAATTCTTTTGTTAACTGGTGTATACTTTATGATTGTTTATCAAATTTTCTGTGTTTTCATAGAAGCATAGAATAGTTTAGGTTGGAAGGGACCTTAAAGATCACCCAGCCCAACGCCCCTGCCACGGGCAGGGACACCTCCCACCAGACCGGGTTGCTCAAAGCCCTGTGCAACCTGGCCTTGAACATTTCCAGGGAGGGGGCATCCACAACTTCCCTGGGCAACCTGTGCCAGTGTCTCACCACCTTCACAGTAAAGAATTTCTTCCCAATATCCAGTCTAAATCTACCCTCTTCCAGTTTAAAGCAGTTCCCCCTTGTTCCATCGCTACCTGCCCTTGTAAAAAGTCCCTCCCCAGCTTTCCTATAGGACCCCTTCAGGTACTGGAAGACTGTTATAAGGTGCCCCAGAGCCTTCTCTTCTCCAGGCTGAACAGCTCCAGCTCTCTCAGTTGGTCCTTGTAGGAGAGGTGCTCCAGCCCTCTGATCATCTTCATGCCCCTCCTCTGGACCTGCTCCAACAGCTGCATAGTCTGTTATTCCACACTTTTAGTGCATGTTTCATTTTTCTTCCATACAAGTAAAAAAATCACTTTTCAAACTGTCTTCCAAATTCAGCAATATCATTTAGAAACATGAACCTCCCTTCTGAAAGCTTGCAGTCCTTTCAGTTTGATGTAATCTGTTCATTTCATAAGTATAATTTCTTTTCCATTATCCAAGTCTTGATTAAAAAATACTGGCTAGAATTGGGCCCAGAGCAGACCTTTGTACTTAAAAAGTATTTTTAGTTTAGTAGTGTATGAATAATAAAGTTTCTGCATTTTTTTTCATCTGCTCATGTACCTTGCTTCTTTCACCCCTCAGTGATTATTACCCTTTGATTAATAATTTCTTATCATCTTAGGCCACCAGTGCCAAAAGCATCTAATCCATCTTTTTCTCCCCCTGTCCCCTTATCACTAGGTCATTTGCTTGATTTCAAGCAACCTGTAGAAGGTGGTTACAGGTGTGGGGGGTTGTGGTGGTGGTTTTGTGGGTTTTTGGAGGGTTGGGTGGGTGTTCAAAATTGGGTGTCCAAGAGCAGGAGCTGAATTTAAAAAAAAACAAACAAACAAAAACCAAACAGTTGTCCAGGTATATCTACAGGTGAAAGTGTAATGCTTGAGTGGGGTTTTTTTGCTTCGACCCTCCCTGTCTATTTGTGTGACCACTGCCCCAGTAACCCTCCTGATCCATCACAGCATACCTTTCTCCCCTGTTCTAGTCCAGCAGCTATGATTACCTTCTGAGATTTCCTAGCATTGTTTTGCTGTTTCTCAAACTTGGGGGTGATGTTAGCAGCTGCGAGACTTTCTAGATTTTGCAGTCTTCCTTGTGAAGCTAAAAAGGCGCCAAATACAAGTTGCATTTCACAGCGAACCTTAATACCCTATTTGCATTTATTGCACCAATGTATTTTCTACTATGGGAAAAAAATGTATTTCCTTTTTTTTTTTGTTCTTTTTCTCCTTATCTCCCCCCTCAGATTGTTAGATTGTGGTTTTGTTTTTTTCTGACTGGCACCAGAAAGGCCCAGCATTTTCGTGCAGGATTGGGCTACTCTCACTGTCCTACCTTCCTCTTCTGTGGCAAGGAGCAGTGCCTGGGGTTGTTAGTTGTGGTCCCCTCTCCCAGAAAAGATCTTTGCATGCATTCTAGGTGGGCTGTGTGTGATGACAGCCTCCAAACCGCCCCAGGTCAGGCTTGCCCATCCCGCTATCAAGCGTGACATTGGGCTGCTTCATTTATGACTGCCTCGCATTTTTGTCAGGTTACAAATGCGGAATGTTTTGCCTATCAGATTTTAAAGATCGCTCTGGAGATTAGCAGCCCAAGATCTGCAGATACTGTCTTGACAATGTATTGCTTGCTCAGTCTGGTCGGGTGGTGTTTGCCATTTGCAACACCCAGCAAATTCACTTCTTTCTTCCTTTTTAATTCTTCTTTTCTCCATGCATGCTTTTTTTTGTTGTTGTTGAGTATTGGACTTTATTTCTCTAATTTCCTTTTGGTAGCATTAACTACATGTTTTGACCAAGGACCTCTGTAATTATAGTTACTTTAAGTATTGATCTTGGTGGAGGAGTGATTTGCAGTGCATCTCTTTTCCATAGGAATCCTTCCCAGTGTTTATAGTGCCCCGGCCCTTTTATTCCACAGTGACTTGCAGTTTCAGTAGCTGACACTGCTGAATCAGTTGCACTTTCTGTTTCATTTTTAGCTCCAGACTTTCCAAAAAATTGTGCACTACTTGTTGGAATAATTTGGGTTTATGCTTGTTCCTGCTCGTGCCACAGTCACAATGTTTTTTCCCCCCACCTATTTCCCACTCTTTGGGCTGTGACTTTGTACGAGGAAACAGGCAGTTTCTTCTGTTTTATGTTTCCAAGAGTGACCCTCATCCTTTTCTTAAAACAGTGCCATCGTTATTTTAATCTCTTGTTCTCTGTGTAGGTAAATGATTTACAAATCATTTAGACTCTAAGTACGTGAATTAGTAGCCTTGTTAGTGGGCTTCAGCTCTTTTAAATTAAGGTTTGTGATTCACAGAGTAGGGGGAATTATTCATTCTCAAAATATCTCATAAATCTGTATAATACTAGAAAATCTACTGAATGGATGACTTTCATAATTTATCTAATTTTATCACTCCTACCTTGAAATAATACAAGAAAGTTGACATCTAGTTCCATGTTGTTTGCTAACTGTACAGAATTATGGATATTTTTTGTGCTAAAACAAAATACATGGTTGGGACTTAGAAAAAGGCATAATGAGTGCAGTCACTAATTATAAATTGGCAGAGCTTCAGTTAAGTGAATTTCTGCTAAGAACTTTTCCTGGCTGGGCTCTGGCTTCCTGTCACAGGCTTAAAGAAACAGCATCCGTATCCTGAAAACCTACTTGTCTTTTTGTCCTATGTGCTTTTCACATAAAGACTGATTTTGTACACCTAGGTAATGCCATGAGCAATGAAGCTTTCTTGAAAACCTTTGACTTTTACTGGTTTAAAACATACTCTAGAAAGTTGACAAATCTAGCTGGTGTTGGGTTTTTCTTGTTTGCAAGGTAAATATGACTTCATGCTTTTAAAGAATGAACTTCACAGGGTCACCACTCAGAAGGATTAGAATATTTTTACAGTTAAATTTAATGATGAATTATCTGTATTTAATATTTAGTACTTTCTGTACTGTACTTTTAATTTTCTTTTTGGAGTGTATCACAGTATGTTTCCTAGGATCTTTATAGTTCTGTAAGAGGTAACATTTTGCCAGAAGAAAGAGGCAATATACCTTTCTAAGAGCTGGTACTTTCTGTAGTCTGGAAATTTCTGGGAAGTTTGGAGCATACAGTGATGCTTTTGACACCGGTCAGTGACAGGAATGTTCTCCTGGATTCCTGTGCAAATGAGAAGCTTGTCTTAGTTTATAGCCTGACCAGAAGTATTTCGTTTAAGGCCTTTTGTGGCTACATGCACTCGCAGCTTTGGTTTTGTTTTTGTCAGTGGCAAATCATAACTATTGCTACGTGAAGGGGCTGTAGTGGGACAGCTTCCCTCTAGCGCACCTGGGAGGGAAGTGGCATAATATAATTCTTAAATGTTGATTTTCTAAGGAGATGTCTTTGTATATTTATTTGATAGCATAATTTGTGGTGATGTGTACATATAGCACTAGAAGTGTATTTCAGATGATATGGAGAATGAACTTAAGTGTGTCTAACAGTAAATGTGTCTAATATTACCTCCTTATTACCTTATTAATAATTAAGATTATTACCTTAACAATCACTCCTATGCTTCATCCACTGCTGCCTTGAAAATTCTGAGATCAGTATTGCTATAGATGTAACACATATTTAAACTAACTTGGAATTTTTGTAGTCTACAGGTAATAAATAATAACTGCGGACGTGTTTGTTACTGTACTTGAGTTAGTTGAAATCCTTTTTAAGCCACATTCTTTGTTTTTTGTCATCAGTGTAACAGGCTTTTGCCCACAGAATGTTCTGGCTAGACTCTAGAATCAAGTTGTTTGGTTTTCTATTGCCTAAGTCAGGGAGAATTCAAATGTCATTGTCTGAGTCTGCCGCTCTGAATTAATTACATTATTAAATCTAAGACGTAATAATCTCTGTATCTCTACCTTAAATTTAAGACTCTGTGGAACTTGATAAATTAGTTACTTCTTCTTTTTTGCGTATTATTAAAGGTCAGGATAATAAGATCTCCTGAGACTGCATTTGTAAGTACAAGGAAAATCTCTGCTTCTCAACTATTCTGCTATGTGGTCATGCCAGAGACCTAAGCTGACTGTCAAGTCATTAAGGCAGCTCTTTAGACTGGTAGGAAATGCTGCAAAAGTACCAGTTGATCTAAATCCTCAAGTTTTATGAAGACAGTCATATTCAGTGAAGAGTCATTTAATTCATGGACATTAAGGGTTCTTGCTGTCTCTTCCATTTTTTAGTCTTCTCATGGTTTTCTCGTGATTCTTGCAAAATTCATTCTGATGGGAGAAAGGCTCAGTAACAGATCATGGAATGATTTAATTGATGCTGGCGTATAAAATGTAGTGTTTTTAAAAAAACTGATTCTGACCGCTATTTTTTGAGAGCATCTCATCAAAGCTTTCCTCTGACACATCTGAAATTATTTTTCTGGACCTAGTTTCAGTACATAATATAAATAAAATAGATGGTTTCAACTTGAAAGTAGAGCTGTCTTATTTGCATTTCAGAATGTAAAGTTAGTAATTTTATAAGCTTCTTCCAGTAACCTACAATAATGGGTAATTGATTGTAACACTCCTGAGAGTTAGATTTTTGGCTTAAAATCAGCAAATGCCAAGGGCATAGTGCTCTTTTGGTACCACGTAGTTCATCTTATGTTATGGAGACGTACGGATATGTTCTTTCATAGAGTTTTATGCTTGTTTCCAGTACTGGCATTCATTAAATTTACTGGCAGGTGATTTTCTCATAATTAAAGTAAAGTTGGCATGATTCGGGTCGTTCATTGGTTTATAATTGGTCAGATAGTTTATCATACTCTGATCTTTCCATAAAGGAGCTAATATATCTTCAAAGCTCTGTTTTGCATCTTTAATAAAAAGTTGCATTTCACTTGTCAAGACATGCAGATGTGTTTCAGGGGCTTTTTGGATTATTTTTTTTTCTTTAAAGTCAGTTTATTCTTTTATAGTAGAGGCAGATACTATGATACTGTCCTATGCTATTGCTACTCATACAAAAAAGGCCTTACCTGATACCTCAACACCAAGTTCAGATTTATACTTTTAATTTCTTTGTATGTTATCTTCACTCATTCTGTCCTCTTGTTCAGCTTTTCTGTACAATCCCCACTGTACGGTTTTTCGGTTTTGATATTAATAGGTTTCTTAATTTGTTGGTTGGTTGTCTGGTTCTTGCCCTTGATGTGTAACACAGTTCTCCAGTTGCTGTGAGGTAAAAGTCACAGGGAACAGTAGTGGAATAGAAATGAAGCCTGCAGAAAACATGTTACTCTTTAATTTCTGGCTTACTTGAAGGGATTTATACAGCAAAAATCTGTAGACGACAAGAAACTTTTAATAAAAGTGACACAGGCTTCCTTGAATAAAAATGTCAATAAAGCATCTCCTGCTTTGAAAGCTTATTCGCTCAAATCTACCCAAGTTTCCTGAGGAGATGCTTGAGCTTCATCTGGTGATTGCTGTTCCACAGCCCCCTTTTTTGCCAGTTCATTTTAGCGTGAAGTCCTACAGAAGGATGTTTTTTACTTTGCTTGTTTGGTCTTTGTTCCATCTTTAAAATCTTTAGATTTCTCCAGGTTGTTAATATTTGTGGTTGGTTTAGGGGTTGTATTTGTTGTTTTTTTTTCCTGTTACAACTACTGCTAGACATTTTAAATTGTGAAACAGATTAACAGCTAAAAGACAATACTGTAGATTTTCGAGGTTATTTAATTTCTTTGTCTTTCTTCCAGAACACTGCGCATTGTTATAAACCAAAGGATTTCCATAGGCAAACACTGTTTGACCAAATGTATTTGCCTGAAATACCCACAATTCTCTTACATTAATTTTATTCAGTTGTTACAAGCACAACAGCAGTAATGTTACATCTATGTCCTACTGCTGTCATGGTTAGGACTGCCCTAACATCGATGTTCTTACTCTCTCATCTCATCAGGTCACAGTCTGTGTAGTCTATTCCAAGTTGCATTGGCTTTTTTTGCTCTAAATGCCATGGTGGTGCTTATGGACTACTTCTAAGAGTTGGGTTTTTTAAATTATTTTATTTATTTATGAAACTTCAGCACTTGGAACTTGCAATAAGGATGTGAATGCTTGCTTTGAATGTCCGATTTTCACAATATATCAAGTTTGGGATAAATGCCTATATGCAGAGAAGTGTCTATGTGCGTCTGATTGTTTACATCTTATTGTATTTCACTTTTGCTATTTTACAGTAATAAGAATATGTACTTTGTCATATTTCGTAAAAGCAGTCACACTGGTAATCAATTATTAACCAATAAATGAGTCTTTGCTGAGAGATTACAAAAGCAATTATTGAAATACAGGTTCTAGATGTAAACTAGATAAGCCCATGTTAAATTTTTTTAATTTTTAATGAAGTTTAATGCTAAAATCCACATAGTAAAAGAATCAATTAACTGGCAAAAAAAAATCCACAAACTGAATTAAGCAATAATTGATTCTTTTGAATAATAAATGTAGCTTTGCTGAGTAGATGAGAAGAAACAATTTTCAGTGCAAATCAACTTTGAACTATGATAAAGAACATCCTTTCCAGGAAGAAATTTTAAAACAAACAAACAAAATTACAAGGAATTTTGGATGTGTGTATATACACACAGGCTAGCTTTCGGTGGACAGCAATGTCTAATAGGCAGATTTCCACAGAAAATGTAACAGGGAGTCATTGTTTTATGTCACATTTGTAGGGGCTAGATTTGGTTTTAGCCATCTTACATGCAGTATTTGTACCCTAGGGTAGTGATGAAACTTTATTTCATTTAGATTTTAGCCTTTTGGGAAGAGGAGGGGCAAAACCCTCTGGCTCTTCACCTATCAGCCAAATTTAAACACATTACCAGAAAGATAAAGGGAAGGAAAAGGAAAGGAAAAAGTCAACAGCAGAAAGTTCTGTGGTGAATATTTGGCTTGTATCAGAGGGAATTATGTGAAAGCAATGTATGGGATGCGAGGAATTCCCATATCCTGAGAATGTCACACATTACTCAGCAGTTTGCTTTCAGAATATCTCAACTGTCAAAGGCATCGAGTGATCACCTGCTCCTCACACAAGCCTTTGTGCAATGATTTTCAATTTAACAGAGCTTTGGCCTTTGTGTCAGAGATGGTGCTTTTGCCATCACATTAAAATCCGTTCAGACTTGGCCACCTTTTAA